CTGCAGAGGGGAAGGCTTGTTGGAAAGCTCCATTATGGAGGGAGAAGCAGGAGAAGCTTCAGGTCTGTGTGAGCCAGCTTGCCATCACTGAGACAAAACCCCTGAGATAAACAACCTAACAAAAGAAAATTTGTTTTGGTTCTTGGTGTCAAAGGTTTCATCTCTGGTCACTTGGCACTATCACTCTGGACCTGTGACGAGGCAGAGCATCACAGCATGGAGCGCTTGGTAAAGTAAAGCTCCTCACTTCTTGGTAGCCAGAAAGCAAAGAGAAAAGTGACGACAGAAAATGGCATTATCCCCTTCCAGAGCACACCCCTGCCAGCCACATCTACTTAAGTGTCTCACCACCTCCAAATAGCTCTGTCACCTGGGTACCAAACTTTTAACCCATGAGTTTTGGGGGAACATTTAAGATCAAAACCATAACAAGGTCCAATTAGAATCAAGAGCTCCTAAGCCCTTCTCTCCTCTCTTCTCTCCTCCCCTGTGTGCGGAAGCTCATGTTCTTGACCCAGCTCAGTGTACAGATGCTGCACTTGGCATCTTGCTGTTTCTCCATGAGAGAAGAACAGGCTTTCTTTGGAGCAAGGTTTAAAAATACCAGGGGAGGGTTCTGATTGGGTGATTTCAGATCAGCTGTCCAGTCCTGCACCTACCAACTGTGGTCAGTGGGGTGAGCCTCACACGTTTGTTCAGCCCAGTCATTTGCATTTGGCCAGTCCCTTGCTGCTAGCTGCCAATCAGCTCACACGGCTGGAATAGAGTATACACTCCCCAGGAGGCAGAATAATCCTAGATATTATGATGACTGGGTCCCTCCAGTGAACCAACTACATAACAGGTACACGATGTGGCGATGATAGTAAAATTTTATGGGGGAGAGGGTAGTTAAGAGAACAGAAAAAAAGTTCTGTCTCAATCTATTCTGTTGCTATAACAAAGCACCTGAGACTGAGAAGTGCAACAGTATAGAGCTTTATTGAGTTCACAGTTCTGCAGACTGGCAAGCCCAAAAGGTTGGTGCTAACATCTGGTAAGGACTTTCTTGCTGCATAACAGATGATATCACATGATGAGACAGAGCAAGTGTGCTAGAGAGAGAGAGAGATTCCTCTTATAACAAAGCCACCCCCAAATATGCCATCCATCCACAAACAGATTCATCCAGGCCCACATGACCCAGTCACTTCCCAAGACCCCTCCACTTGCCCCCTGCTTCACCCTCACTTTGTTGAGCTCAAATGTCCAACCACTCAATGCTGCTGCATTAGGGGCCAAATTTCCAACACACTCAAATTATTTCTTACAGAATTATAATAAAAGAGAGAGAGAGAGACATCACTGGGTAGAGGAAGGAGGGCTTCTCAGGACAGTACCGGCCAGAGACAAAAGTATCTAGTCCAGCATCCCACTTCCTCCCCACACGTGGATGGGCACAGCACCTCCCACTAGCTCTCCAAACGTTTCTGATGGAGGCTTTTGCAGAAGATCAAGGACAACAAAGATAAGTACAGCTGCGTTGCTCACATTCATCGCCCACAGGAAAGCTCTTCCACGCATCCCTCCTTGCAGCTGATCTACACGTACAGCCTTTGTCCACTCATTTCTAGAGCCAGATGGAGGCACTCTACCCCTTCTCCACCTGGGGGTGGCAAGCTCTGCTTAGTCCTTTCCAGTGTTTGGCTTCACTAAGCAAGTTAGGAAAGTGGAGAGGCTGTCCGGAGGAAGCTCAAAGGCTCCAGGGTGTTTGTTTTTCATTGTTACCTATTCTTTGTTAGCAGTCTTCATTTAGAGGGGCAGATCAGATCCTCCAAGCCTGTTCGGGCTCCCCAGGATGGAGTCATCAGACATGAGATGAGGGTTCCTCTGTGATGCTGTGCAGGACATTCTCCCAAGAGAATCTCTTTAGAGCCAGACAAAGCAGGACAGAGAACAGAAAGATCCAGGCAAAGTCCCAGCCTCACTGGTCCCTCAGGGAGCTGACTCTCAATTACACCAGGGCTGTCCCACCTGCAGACACAGGAGCACCCATCAGTGGGACATCCTTGGAAATCTGGGAGGAGAAAAATTCCCAGGTACTTTGGGATCACCACTGGACAGTGTAATTCTAGTTTCTGGAAGGTGATTCTCCAAAGAGGGCTCCAAGTAGAGGGAGGGATTCTATTTGAGAACATGAGGAAAGACAGGGGAAAGATGCTGCTGAGAACTATGTCCTCCCAAAATTCATAGGTGAAGCCCTAAGCTCCAGTGTGATGATATGTAGAAGTGGGAACTGGGAGATTCTAGCCTTAACCAAGGTCATGAGAGTAGAGCCCTATTTGGGAAGAGACCAGGAGCCCTCTCTCTCAGCATTGTGAGGACACAGCTACCATCCACAAGCCAAAAGAGCTTTCATCAGCACCCAACTACATGGGGAGCCTGATGTCAGGTTCCCTGGCCTCAGAACACTGATAGACAAAGTACCTTGCTTAAGCCACCCAGTACACATGGGATCCTCTTGCAGCTGCAGAAAATCACACCTCCTTCCAGCCTGGCCCCCACAGTCTATCACAGCCATATCCCAAGCCAAGCCATCCATAACTGCTCTGCTCCCTGCCACTGCCCACCTGACTCCTCCAGCTGGAGTAAATGAACCCCCTTCCCAATCAGTCTAAGCCGTCACAGTGCCCCAGGAAGTCACCTGCCTTATACGCTAGGCTGCCCAGAACCCAAGCCGTGTCTCACCTCCCACCATAGTGCCGGCACTTCTGGATTCCCACCCCTGTCTTGCCCTGCAAGCTATGAAGTTGGCCTTGAGGGGACAGCCTTGCTCCCAGTGCCCACTGTGAGGTACCCCATAGAGCCGGCCAAGGTGTGCCCCACAGAACTGGGCCAACCCATACAGGCCCATTGACTTTTTCCAAGCCTGCCTGCCTATCCTAGGCCTGCTGAGCCCTGTACCTCCTACAGAAGCCCTCTCTGACCAAGTCCCACTGGCAGGACCAGCAAGGCCAATTCCTAGCCCAGGACTTAGGAGCACTTTCCACCCCATCCCCTTCAAATGAACAGGGAGGTGTGGTCAGCCCTTCCCCAGCTTTTCCTGGCACCATTGGGGTAAGCTCTGTGCCAGTAAGGAGGGGAGGGCAAAAAGGAGGAAGAGAAAATTGGGGTGTACCTATACTCATCCATGGGGCAAGCAGAGACCAGTAAACACTGGTGAGAGGCAGAGGTAGTTTCAGACTTGGGCCTGTGGGACTCCAGAGAAGAGAAGGGGGAGCTGGAACAGTCAGGAAGGCTGCCAGGGCAAAGGGGGAGGCCCTGAAAGACAGAAAAGAGGAGCGGGGAGACCAGAAGGACCCCTGTGTGTCTGAGTTTCTTGCACTCTGGTTGTGTTATACAGGGCCTCTCCCATCTTGTCTGCACCTCTAGAGAAAAACACCTCAGCATTAATCACATTCCTCAAATGCTTTCCTCTCAGAGCCTAACAACCCAACTGCTGCTTAAGCTTTTAAACCCCCTGCACCAGCCCACATGTCAAGATTGGGCCTGAAGCTGGTGTGTGGCTCTGGAAGACTCACCTGTCCCCATGTGAGTGCATTTCTGCTCACAGCCCCCTGATCCTGGGCCCCAGCCCTGTCCCAATCTGTGGAACTGAAATCACTGGGTGAACCCAGGCATGTTGTATTTCCTGTCACTGCTTGAGCTTTCTTTGTATTTGCTTTTTAGCATTTTATTATGATATGAGATATAGAAATAGGTACAGAAAAATTGGAGCACAATCCAAATCATATCCATATACCCTTTGCCCACAATGACCAATGATTTACACTTAGCACTGTTGGATTTATTGTCCTATCTATGCATCTGTCCCTCTGTGTGTATTTTTTTTTTTTTTTTTTTTTTGGTACCGGGAATCGAGCTCATGATCTCAGGCTTGCCAGGGAAGCACTTACGCCACTGAGCTACATCCCCAGCCCTCCTCTGTATGTCTTTCTGAACCATTGGAAAGTGAGAAACATGCTGCCTCTTTAAACCTGAATGTGTATTTTCTATAAACAACAAGAACACTCTCTTACCTACCCACTGTAAAGTTGCCAAAACCAGGAAGTGTGGCATTCATTGATATAGTGTGACAGTGTGGTGATTAATTAATTGTCAGTTTAAGGGGGAACATCCAGCTGAATTGAGTTAGCATGTTTCTGAGCATGGAAGACCCCCTTAAGGAGGATTGTTGTCAGAACGATAAAAGGAGAAGAGGAGGGGCGATTTTACGCTGATTTCCCTCACTTGTTCTGCTTGTTCTCTGGCTGAGCTCTGGTGTTCATCTTCGAAAAGGATGGCTGTTGTTCTCTTGGGAGGAGCTCCGGTCTTCACCTTCACCTTGACAGTTGTCTCCTGGTTCTCTGCATGGATGCTTCAGCTTCCAGCATTGGTCTTTCAGCCTGTATTCACAGACTCCCTAGCTTCTAGCGCCAGCCCTTGGGTTTTGCAGCACAGATCCTTCAGTCTTCCCTCCTGAATTCCTCAGCCTCCTGATACAGACTTGCAGGGGACATTGCCTTGGGTTCCAGGCCTTCAGCAGGACTCATATGGGACATTGCTGTGAGATCCAGGCAGGGCTGGATTCTTTGGATCTCTAGCATGAGGATAGATCTCTTGCACTCGTCTACATTTGATTCTGTGGGCAAATACTGTAAGCTACTCTTGCAAATTTCTATGTCCTGCATTAAATCTGATCTCTTGCAAATACTGACCAATACAGATGGCATCTCCAGATTCACCTATGCGAAGCCCCCCAGATCATTGAATTTTGCCTGCCTATAACACAGGGAAGGACCTAAGCAGCCCTACTGTCTCAGGCAGGGACCCCTGCCTCCCCTCAGGAGCTGCAGCCCACAAAAGACATAATCCCTGCTTTGCAGGCTGGAGGGCAGTTTGACCCCCTGGCTGCCAGGGTGGAAGTGGCTGCCCAGCATGGGTTATAAATAACCTGAAGGGGCGGGCTGTGGGGCGGTGTCACCATTGCCCTGGAGGAAGCGGGTGGAGATTGTCCTGGGAGCCCTGGGTCTCACCTCTGCTCCCCTCCCTCCCGGCTTGGTGGGGAGGAAAAGGCCTGGGGAAGGAGCTGGCGGGGGTGGGGCCTGCTGCCCTGGGCATGGGCTCTGGTCTCTTGTCCCTAACTGTAACATGGGGAACCCCCAGGCACACCCAGGCCTCCTTCATGTCCCACAGCTCCTCCTGTGTCTGCTCTGGCTTCTCCCATTGTTTCAAGTAAGTGTGGGGAGTGGGGTCAGTGCACTGGGGGGAAGGGGCGAGGGAGCTGGGAGTTGTCATGAGTGACTGGGGTTGGGGGATCTCAGGGCTGGTGGTCTCAGGGCTGGTGGCTGTTGGATCCCTCCCCAAGCTGATGCTGGGATGCAGCTCTCACACTTGGGGAAGGGGGGAGGTGGAGGGGCAGGGAAAATCTGTCATTAGCTAGGAGAGGGCAGGGAGGCCCCTCGGATAAGCCTAGGTTTCTGGGGTGACATACTAGTGTCCAGGACCTGTCCTTCCTGAAGACTAGAAATTCTTTGTCCATTTCCAATTCTCTCCTCTCCCTCACAGGTCCCCTCACTTCCCCTGAAGTTTCCCTTTTCAACCCCAGATCTGACCACCAGACCACCCCAGCAGACCACCAGAGAGCTGCCTCTCATCCACTGTCACAGGCCCCGCCCTCCTGTGACATGTCCCCCATTATCAGGCATGATTAATGAGCCATGGAGCAGAGAAGCAAGAAAGAACCCACTTCTCTGGGGGGTCCCCAAGACTCCGGACTGCCCCACCCACACGCCACAGTCAGGAGCTACCTACGTGACTGGGTGAAGGGATTGAGGGTAGCTAGAAAGAAAGGGCTGAAGAGGTGGGAGAGAGGCTCGGGGGAGTGAGTCCCACAACCCACCTCCAACTCTCTCCCTGCTTTAGAGACAGGAAAGCTGAGGCTCTGAGAAGATGACCTATCATAGGCCTTACTTCTTGTGAAGAAGAACTGCAACATTAAAATTATCCAGAAGGCAGAAAGGGGCCAGGAGCCCACACAAATACAGGGGACAGAGCCAGGCTAGGAATCAGGATGCTAGCCTCAAGGACCATGTCCTGGGCCTCAGTGTCCTTACTTGGACAAGGGGGATTAATTTGTTCAAAGTCACTGAACAGACAGGTAGTGAGAATTCACTGATAGCAAAGCTGCTTTGCTGACAGAACCCATTCAGATCCCCAGCCCCCTTCACACACACACACACACACACACACACACACACACACACACACTTGTTCTAGCACAGATCCTTCCACAAGACCTTGGGGCTAAATTGGGGGTTACCTGCTGTCCACCCACCCTGACCCAGGCTGGTTAGATGAGAGAGCTTCTAGCTGCTACTCCAGAACCCAGTGTGAAAAAGGAAAGGTGGAAAGCATGAGGGAGAGTCCCCTGGGTTCTGGGGACATCAGAACTGGAGACTTCTGAGGCCACATTCAGGGCTCTGTTTCCCTCAGAGTCAAACCAGCCCTGCCTGACCTCTCCTGATGATCCCAGGCTGAGACAGAAACTAGTCCCTTGCCCAAAGTTACTCAGCACATATCCAGCTGGAGAGGAACTTTATGGCCCCTAAGCCCAGCCTTCCTCACCTTGGGCCTTCGTGGTAATAGGATTGATTTCTGCATCCTTAGCCAACTGTTCTGAGATTTCTCCTCCCTGGGAAGTGAAAACATGAGACGATGAGCTAGCAATGGGAAGGAAGGCAGCCAGGGAGGGACCTGGCTTCCAGCCCTCCCCCTATTCAACCACATTTAACGAGGACTACGTATGCATGGTGAGGATGCAGGCTGCAGAACCCACCTATGGCCCCTGCCCTCCCAGAGTTTGGGGCCCAGAAGGAGACATGACAAGATGAATGGCAAAGAAACAAGATGTGTTTACAACCTCTGGAGACTGGATCTAAGAAAAAGTGCCCTGACAGGAAGAATGAGAGTCTGCAGGGGTGGCAGGCAGGAGGTAGGTCAGCAGGAGATGACATGGGGTGGGAGCCAAGACCAATCTGGTCTGATTAGCACTGGAAAAGTTCCAGCTGGTGGTCACCCTGACCCAGTCAACACCTCCAAAACCTGGAGGAATCCACCAAGCATTGACCCCTCTGAAGCCTTTAGGGAGCTGCAGAGGAGACCACTCTTCCAGTTGTCCTGTGTGCCAGGTGTTATGCTAAGGGCCTTACTCGTTTACTGTGGAAGTGATTTACAGACAGAAAATGGAAGTTCTGAGAGGCTAAGCAACACAGATGAAATGGCCCCAAATCCAAAACTTCTTGAGAAAAACTTTATGGATTTTTTAATTTGTTAGTAGAGATGCTCACCCAGTAAAGTGTAGGCAAACATTCTAAAATCCATTCAAACTATAACCTGAAATACTTTTAGTCCCGAGCATTTCAGAGAAGGAATACTTGGCTTGTGTATCCAACGCCCTGGAGTCTGACCTTTCAAGCACCTTGTGGGTCCCTCTGCGAAGACCCCAGGAGCTCACCAGCCTTCTAGGCCAATCCAGCCCCTCACTCTTGGACGGGGAGACTCCGCTGTTGAGTCAGGACAGCACATCTGCAGGTCCTGGCTCCTGGTGGAACCATCTGCCCAGAGAAGGCTCAGCAAAGAGAGATGAGGACAGGGGAAGTCCTGGGCTGTCTCTGCCCAGCCCCAGTTTCCAGACCCTCCTTTACCTGCCCAGCCCTCCTCACCCTTCCCTCCAGTGCATACACAGTCTGCAGAGCTGGGGCTCAAGAGCCATCGCGAGCAGCCAATTCATCTAATGACTTTCCCCCAAAACTCAGTTCCCTTCTGAGTGCTTTCTAACCTAATCAGCTAATTTTGTCTCTCTGTTTTTGCCATTTTGTTGGTATTTAAGTATTAAAAAAAAAAAAAAAACACACACACACACAATTTGTCTGAGGACATCGCCTACTTAATTCAGTATTCCTCGGAAGTCTCAAACGGGCAGAGCTCTACAAATGATGCTGCACCCTCTTTGTGGTCATTTTCTACTTTATCTAATTGTAAACATTTTAAAGCCCCTCAGCCAGTTTGGCTAAAGTCACTTTATTCAAAATTTTAATTTTTAAGCTGTCATTTTAAGTCTGTGGGGATGAGGGAAGGAAGGTTATTCAATCTGCTCATTTTGTTTGTCTTGCTGGCCGGCTACCCAGGCACACAGCTGCTCGCCACTGTTCTAGGCACCAACGTACATCCCCCACGTGAAGCATCCGGACAACCCAAGGACAGAGGATCATCCCTGGCCCCATTTTTCAGATGAGGAGGGTGGAGTAAAGTCCTGTGCCCAAGTTTACAGGGCTGGTAAAGGGTAGGGCTGGGATTCCAAACATATCCTCTTCCTTTAACAAAAAGGTAATTTTAATGTCAAGCTATTTTTAAAACATTCAGACAGATGACAAAACAAATCGGAAGAAGCTATTAGGCAACCTGGACATTAGACAAGTTGATAAGTAGGGAGGTGATTTTAGACAGAGTGAATTTTTCTAGGGCCTTGCAGACCCACCTCCCCCCACCGCCCCTCCCCCTTAGACAGCCAGGTAAGGGAGGACAGAGGGCAGAGAGGGGCTCCAGCCCTCTGCTCTGGCTCTCAGAGAAAGAGAGAAGACAAGAGGTGTGCCTGGGAACTTCTTCAGGGGCCCTGGAGGCTGGCTTGGGACCTGAAGGAGGAGCGGACTGGGAAGAAGTTAGACCTGCTGGGCAATGGCACAGAGCTGCAAAGGGTGCTGAGAGCTGCTAGGGTCCTCAGTTATCACTGAGCATAATCTACTCCAGGAAATTAGAACTGAGTATCTGAATCTTCCCTTCCAGGGAGCTGGCCCAGATGCTCTGGAAAATAACTGCGTACGTCCTCGTGTGCCTTCTGATCCCTCGTGCTCTCCCTGGGCACAGAGGGGCAGACTCCGCCTTCCTACCTTTCCCCCTCCATGTGGCCCCCTCTATCCCCTCCTCCTCCCTCCCTCTTTTCTCTTCTCCTCTCCTCTGCTTTTCTCCTCTGCACCCACCCCCTAGTACCCTCTTGGAGCTTGGCTTACGCCAGGGAAGCCAGTGAATGAGAGCAGCAAGCCCTGGGAAGGAGCCTTCCCTTTCCTGGAGCCTTCCCTGACCTTGGGCGGCATGGGGAGGAGGCAGCCAGGGACTCACCCCCACCCCCACCCACCGCACCGAGTTCCTGCCTGTCACTGGCAGCTGGGGCCCCAGACCTGTGGTCCAGTAAATCTCTCCAGCTGAGACCAAGAGCTAAATTTAGATGGAAGCTTGTTGCCAGGCCTGGGAGGGAGCAGGAGGCTGGGCCAGAGTCCCTGGCTCCTGCTAGGCAGCACCTTGGACGCCCCTGTAACCCCTGGGGCACAGGTTCTGTCTGGATGGGGCCTAGGATGGAGGAAGAGCAGCTAGAGGCTGGGTTCTGAACTGCTGCCTCCTTCCCACCAGGGCCTCCTTGCCCATTTCTAAGGATGTCCCATTCCAGGCTCACAGTGTCCAGGGCCAAGACCTGAGCCCTCACCCAGACATGCATCAAAGTGAAAACTTGGGAGACAAGGAAACCTGAAGAACAACCAAAACTCCCAGCACTGGGGCTTCCGGAATTGGGGGTGAGGATCTGGCTGAGGGGACCATAGTCTCATCCTTCTAGTTAGTCAGTCAGTCAGCAATCATTTGTTGAGCTCCTGCTATGGACCAGGCTCTGGGCTGGGAGTTGGAGACACAGATGTGAACTCTGGGATATAGTCAGGCTTGTCAACCAAGGGTGGAGATAGTGGGCAGCTCTCTGCCCCCAGCTCAGCCAAGAGCCAATCCGTTGGAAGTCCAAAATGTTCTCATCAGAACTGACACAGAGAAAACATTCTCTTTCTCTGTCCATTCACATATTCTGACATCAGAAGTGAGGTTTTTCCATGCCAAGCCGTGTTTCAGTTCCTTGGGGACACCAACTGACAGTGTGTGTGTGGAGGGCGCCCAAAGCCCACAGGCGAAGGCCCAGTCTGGCAAGGCCACACCCCCTCAGTCCAGGCTTCCCTACTTCTAACAGCTACAGATCACAGGTTCCCACTGTCACCAACTAGCCCAAGGTTCTTTTGCTCAATTCAGATGGAAACCATGAAATTGGCATGTCACTGGACAGAGCCCAAGGAGGTCCCCCAAAGCAAAGATGGGGACCTCAGCTCACCCTCCCACACCATGGAGTAGATTTGTCAACTCTTGTCACAGAAAAGAATTTCAGGACATGCCAGTGAAAGGCACAGGCAGATAGATCTATTAGGCGATTAGAACAAGAGAAAACAGAAGGGACCTCAGCTTGAGGAGTTAAGGGGGCACAGTTCTGATGAAGAGGATCAGAGGGGCCCACTGATAAAAGAATGGGATTGGCTCTTAGGGTACCTTTAGTGTGGGCTGGGGGCTAACTTCCCATCGGGTCAGGAGTACAGCCTTGCATTTTACAGGAATTCCATGTAGTGTAAGCTGTGGATCCATAAGCATTCTAACCCTGATAGCCTGGCATCCCTCCTGTTACAGGATGCCTGATCCTTGCAGGAGTAAGGGAGGGCATATTTCATGCATGGTTAGAAAAGGAGGACAGAAGAAAAGGGAAGTGTCCCTCTTTAGTGGGTAATATGGTATGCATTAAGGTCTGAAAGTCCGTGCCATATGTCCCATGAGGGTACCTATTCTATTTTACCACAACCCCTCTTTGGGTCCAAAAATGGGCTAAAACAGTGCACAGAGCTCAGGGAAACATTTATGACTACATTTCCTGGTCTATTATAAAAGATATGACAAAGGACACAGGTGACAAGATGCATGGGGCAAAGTACGGGATGGCCAAACTCCCATACTTCCTCCGGGCACCACCCTCCCTGCACCTCCATGTGCTTCTCATCTGGGAGCTCCCAGATCCCATTTTTAGGAATTTCATGGAGGCTCCGTTACATAGGCATGATGGATAACGGACTCTGTCTAGCCGCTCTCCCTTCCCCAGGGGCCGGGCTGAAAGTTCCAAGCTTGTAATCAGTTTGCTCTCTCAGTGACACCCACATCCAGCAGCGCACCAAGAGTTGCCTCATTAAGAGAAAACTGTTCCCATCACTCAGGAAACTACAATGGTTTCAGAAGCCCTGTGTCAGGAATTGGAGACTAAGGCCAATATATTTCTTCTTATATCCCAACAGCACTGTGGGGGCTACAAGGAGCCTGAGGTTATGGACTAAATTTCTCATCTCCCTGTCCAGCTGGCTGGATCTGCCTCCCGTAGCCCAGCTCTCTGCCTATAAGCTCCCTGGCCCCACTCCACCCTCATCCCTGCTCTGCCATGGCTGGAGAAGTCCTTCTTGCTATTGTGGCTTCTTGAGCACCACAGCCACCCATTTGGGATTCTGGTCTTGTGTTAGTCAGCTTTCCATCACTGTGACAAAATACCTGACACTGACACAAAACTTATAAGGAGAAAAGGTTTACTTTGGTTCGTGGTTCCAGAGGTTTCGGTCCATGCTTGGTCAGCTCCATTGCCTGCGGTGAAGCAGAAGTATCATGGCAGGAACATAGGGCAGAGGAAACTGTTTGCGTCAAGGCAACTGGAGGTAGGAGAGACAGGAAGGAGCCCAGTGTCCCTTCAAGCACACACCCCCAGTGACCTAATTTCCTCCACTAGATCCCACAAACCTCCTAAAGTTTCCAGCCCTTCCTGGGGTGGGGACAAAGCCTTTGACATGTGGACCTTTGGTGGACATTTAGCCGAACCATAGCAGCTTGCTTCAGCCTCCATGGGCCCAGACCTTCACTTCCTTGTCCAGGACCAGCTCTTCCAATTTGTGTCAGACCAGCTCATACGCTACCTGACTGTATGAATTCTGCCTCTGCCCCTTACCTGTAGTGTAGCCTTGGGAGGTGACTTCACTTTTTGGGGCCTCTGTTGCCTCATCTGTAAACTGGGGTTATTTACAGTTTTTTCACAGCCTGCAGCAAGGAATAAATGAACTGTTTTATGCAAAGCATTTGGAGTCAGGTCCAGCCCATCATAACCCCTGATTCCACATATTAGAGGCAACCCCTTCTTGTTCACCCCACTGTTCCCCTAATGATAGATCCAAGTCGATGCAGCTGCCTCCACACACACCCTGTGCTCTCTTGGCTCCAGCCTTTGCTCACCCAGCTCTGCCTTCAGGTGGCTTTCGCTGCCCTACCACCACCCAGCCCATGGACTCAGCTTCAAGACAAAACCTAGGGCCCTCAGCTTCCTCCACAAGTACTCAGTGCACACAGCATAAGCTGAGCTCAGACAGGCAGAGGCTGTGTCCTCAGTGTCAGCGTCCACATGAGGAGTGCTGAGGCCGAGGGGTCCACACTGCTGGAGAGTTGGTGAAGGAGGAGGCCTTTCCAGGGAAGAGCGTTAGCAGGGCCTTCAGGTGCCCCATCTCTGGGTTCTCTAGTGGGATTCCCCTGAAGGCCTTGACAAGAGCTTTCATTTGGATGATGACTTCTAAGCACCAGGCTCTTAACATAGTCGTTAAATACACACACAAATTCTACAGGGCTGGTGCTATCCCTGCTTTAAAGATGAGGAGACTAAGGCCCAGAGAAGTGAAGTTGCTTTGTCAACACAGTGAAGAAGCAGCATCTCCAGAACTCTGAGCACGGGAATGTCTGAACGCGACCCCCCTCTGAAAACTCAACTCACAAGCCTTGGAGCGGGACTGTTCCAGTCCTGCCTCTCCTCCCTGTTCCCCCCTCTCCTCTCCACCAGGAGCTCCACCCAAACTATGCACTTGCAGGTCTGAGTCAAATCCATGCACATTCCCCTGAAGAGAACAAAGATCTCTGGCTGTGCCAACTTTTGGGGTTGGCAGAGGGAGGAGTTACAGGAGCCAGAGCCAGGATCTCCAAGTTATCCCCAAATCCACCTCTGATGTGCTTGTCCATGTCACCCAGCCCATGCAGCACACATAGATGCTTAGCCTAGTGACCTTGTGCCACCCCCACTAGAAGATTAGGCCATACTCTAAGACCACATCTCTGTGGCTAGGACAGCCCCACATCACCTGAGTTCTGGGGAGGGTGTCTTCACACAGAGCCGGTGATAAGCAGGAAATCACTTGGGCAGTGGGGCCACAAATATGGTAGCTGCCTTTAGAGAAGGAGCTGGCATCAGAGATGCAAAGAGATGCAAAGTCAGTGCAGCACATCCCTCCCACCTCAATCCAGCTCATCCCAGCAAGTGGAGGACTGATGCCCAAGAATCCTATGTGGAGGAGCTCCCAGCAGACCCTGTGACGAGTGCACTATCCATCCCTTTCCACTGCCCATCCTTCTCGTGGCCCCCAAAGTGTCCTCTCTTCCAGGAAGCCTTCTCGGCCTTCCCAGGTCCTGTAAGGTATCTTCTAGAATAACAGCCTGTTTACCTGCATGCCTGGAAAATTAATTGAAGTCACATGCTCCTCTCCTCTTTTGTGCTCCTACTAAGTCTAAGGGATCTCTACCTGGCCTGGGACACCCTGAAGGCACTCACAGGTCCCCCAGCCAGGGCTTGACACACAGCTGTATTCCACAAACATCTTCCCTGGAGATGAACAGCTGGTAGACAGCCCCACCCAGCTCTGCTGGCAGGACATGGGCACTATCCCAGGGGCATATCACATCCTGTGGAGGAAAAGACAGCTCTGGGGGTGAAGGAGAGACACACAGAGTCCTGCTTGGGAGGCGCCACTGCATCAGATCATGTGGCCTCCTCAGGGCTTCGGGTTACGCTGACCCACTTCTGTGCCACATGGCCTTGCCTCAGTTTCCCGTCCTTCAGCAGAAGTGAGAGTACTGAAGGTCAAGTAACACAACAGGGCTCAGGCAGGCATGTGCTACTGAAGGCCAATAAGCCTGGCCTCTGACCCACCTCCATCCCTGCTCTCCCTAGGTGGCCAGGCTGAGCCAGGTGCCCAGAGAACAACCCCTGTGGCCCCTGCTGGAACAGTACTGCCGCACCATGGTGTCCCTGGCTGACCCCTCAGGTATGCATACCACCACCTGCAGCACACCCTGGAGTGAGGGGCACACAGCCTGGGGAGGAGAGGTGATGGGGTGATGGGTAGAGCCCTGGCTGCCAATCCCAGGCTGGATTCTCCTTGCTAGGTCTCCATGGGGATGTGGGGCTCTTCATCAGTGGCAGCAGGCTTGGCAGGGAGCCCTTTTCTTGCTCCCAGCCTCCAATGCACACACAAGGAAGCTGGTTAGATGGGCATTGGGGATCCAGAGGAGTGACCCCTCTACTATCAAACTTGGGTGGCAGCCAAGGACTGGCCTTGAGTGAAACCATCTCTATTTGCTGTGGCTACAGGTGTCCCCCTGTATCTAGTTATTTTCTTGTTGCTGAGATAAAATACTCAACACCCAAAGTTAAGGAAGGAAAGGTTTATTTAGCTCACAATCTGTAGAGGTTTTAGTCTGTAATCAGCGGGCTCCAAGGCAGGGTAGCGTGGCAGAGGGGAATCAGCGAGGAGAAACAGTTCATGGCAAACAGAAGGTAGCAAAGCAAGCAAGAGTCCTTAGCAGCTTTTTCTGAACCTTTTATAGTCTATCCAGGCTACTGGGATTAGGATGGTGCCAAACCAATCAGTGGACTGATTTAGTAATCACCTACCCTTCATGCTAGCACCCTTAATCCTAGCTTTGCACTGTGAATCAGTCACACCTTCTAGATTTAGCCACCTCTGAAAAAGCCCCACCTATAGTTATGCCTGAGGCTTTGGGGGAACACGTAGACACAAACCATAACACCCCAGTAAGGACATACGAAGCAGCACAGTTAAACCCTCAGTTCTGAAGCCTCTGGTTTTTCAAATGGCTCATTTGCTGAGTCAGGGCAGCCTTACTGGTCTGAGGAGGAAGCTGGGCTCACGGCTCTGCGGGGATTTCTTTAGGGTCCACTGGGAGCTGCATGCAAGCAGGAGGCGGGGGTGTCATGAGTGTTCTTGGGTCTTGGAGCAGCTATTAGGACTCAGAGACAAAGAGGGTGGCCAGGCCTGGGGCCTGGCATGCAAAGGCAGCCTGAGGCAGGGGTCAGAGATCCATCTTGCTTCCTGGGCTCCACACAATGGACCAGCCAAGAGCTCAGGTGTCTCTGCCATCCGTCTGATCCCACCTCCTGTGTGACCCTGGATAAGCCCCCTGTATTGGTTTTCCAGTGCTTCTGTAGCAAAGTACGATCAACAGGAATATATCTTCTCACAATTCAGGAGCTAAGTCCAAGGCCCGAGTGGTGACAGGCTTGGTCTCCTCTGAGCCTTTGCTCCCTGGTTTGCAGATGGCCACTTTTCTCTGTATGTCTTCCCACTGTCTTCTATCTGTGCCTGTCTGTTCCCAGTCTTCTCTTCTTATAGACACAAGTTGCATTGGACGGGGGCCACCAAGGCCACATCCTGAGGTACTAGAAGTTAAGACTTCAGCACATAAATCTGAAAGGGCACAATTTAACCTGTAACATGACCCAAGCCTCAATTTCCTTATTGTTAGAAGTCAGGTCCAAGTCTACCTCAGAGAGTTAATGTGAAGGTTAAATGAGAGACCATGGGGACACGAAGCATGGCCATGTCCAGCAGTCACTACACAGAAAATAGAGGCCTCCCACCTCGGGGAGACCCAATATTCCCTCACCAGACTCTGCCCTCAGGCAACGCTTGTCTAGTCTGACCCACTGCCGTCTCCCTACCCGCACCCTCAAGCACGTGGCCCAGGCCCTTCTCTGTTGCCCTTGCCAGAGTCCTCACCTCTCCAACCCAAGGCCTCCCCTGCCTAACTTCTGACATCATTCATTTATTGACAAAAGGCATCCATATTATTTACATAAAATTTGTGGGGGGACCTCTAAATCAAAGAAATCAATAAATGCTCATTATCTTATAACCAAGGATCTTTATCATGTCATATCCTCCGGGATTCATGGATCCATACACCCTCTTGTTGGTTCTCCCACCCAACCCGGTTCTGGGGATTGAACCCACCCAAGGTCTTCACACTGAGCTACATCTCCAGCTCTTCTTTATTTTGAGATGAGGTCTCACTAAGTCATTGAGTTGTCCAGGCTGGCCTTGAACTTTCAATCCTCTTGCCTCAGTCTCCCAGAGACTTGTGATTACAAGTGTTTGCCACCATGCCTGTATTCAAATTGTCTTTTGTTTGATTTTGGTTCTTATTTGTATTTTTTAATAAAACCAGAATGAGGCAGTGTCCATAGATTTACAGCATACCTCCTTCTCTAATAACTCAGAGTGAATATTTCCCCATATCATTAAATATTCATCCACCAGATCTCTAGTGATGCTAGTAACACTGCCTAGCAGCCACTGTGGGGACACGTCAGGCTTCATCAGCCATGCCCCTGAGGTGGACGTGTGAGCTTTTAGGATGCCTGTCAGGGCTCAGAAATCACTTCACAAATCCCCACATGATAGTGGTCTCCTAGCGGACACTGATCAAGAGAAAGCATAATGACTAGCATCAAGTTCAAAGGCAAGTAAATCACTCCACTGTTAAGACATGCACACCTGTGAGAAATCTGGAAAAAATGAGGGCAAGAATATGACAAAGGCAACATTCAGAAGAATTTCCTTCTGGGGAAGAAGTATATAGATATATATGTAAGTGATTAGTAATGATCAAGTTTCAGATTGGGCAGGAGGCTCATACAATTACTACCACATACAAACGTTCATAAAAGAAAAGACCAAAATAAAATAAATGTAGGCCATGTGTGGGCTAATGATGACAAAGGTGCATGAATCAAACCCTATGACCAATCCAACTGTATGTCCTTGAGGTCCAAATAAGTGAAAAAATGCACATAATCACAAAAGTGAGTAGGACTTCAGGCAGAGTTTTAATGGGTGGGTTCTAATCTATTCATCACAGAGGCACATATATATATATATATTTGAAAAATAATAGGGTATATACTGTGAGACATATTTATTCTGTCCATAGACAGTGAGGTTCTGAATAGATACAAGGATCTCTTTTTTTTGTTGTTTTTTTTTTTTTTCCTTTTTTTTTTTTTTCCCAGTACCGGGAATCGAACTCATGACCTTGCGCTTGCCAGGCAGGCGCTGTGCCACTGAGCTAAATCCCCAGCCCAAGGATCTCTTGAAATAATTCCCTGGGCTGGGGAGGTAGCTCAGCAGTAGCATTCTTGCCTGGCATGTATGAGGCCCTGGACTCCATCCCCAGCACTGCAAAACAAAAAGGAAAGTAAATAATAACTCCTTAATCCAACACACACGCAAGCATGCACGCACGCACATGCACATGCACACACATGCTCTAAAGGGGAGATTGCCCTGGCCGGGAGACAGGGTCCTGCACACACCCAAGGCATTTGTTCTTTCTGTGTGATCACTGAGCCTTAATAAGCAAAACGCCCCAGTTTTTGTCTCTTTGTAATTGGATTTAACATAATTGAGAAGAGTGTTATCTCTTTCCAATTTTTTCCTCACTTTTTATTTTCAAACACTAAAGTGAACGGCAAAATTAGTTTGTTCCCAAACTGCTACTTTTCCAATTTCCCCTCTGTGATATCTAGAATGCCAATCACTGACACTTGGCTCAGTGCCCTCCTCATCCATGTAGTGACGTGGCATGTGAAAGGCCTCCCTGTGTGCATGAAGGAGACTTTCCTGGTGACAGGAACTGAGGCAGTGGCACACTGGTCTCTGTAAAGCCCTAGATGGCTCAGTCTGGGAGCTGGGAACTGTACTCTGCCGAGCTGAGGTCAGGATTGGGCCTCGGGCTGGGGTTAGGGCCCATCCTATCCTCCCCTGTGCCTGGCACTGCTTCTTGCAGACATCAAGGGACCTTTGCCTGTGTAGCTGCCCAGAGCTGAACCAGGCCCCTAACTGTCCATTCAGGAGGCAGAGGACAGACCTAACAGGCTGCTCGGCAGCTCGTCCCTGCCCGTTGGCAGGCCATGGGGAGATTCCAGGGGTCAGGCTTGGCCCCGCTGCTCACTCGCTCTCTCCCTCTCTTGCTCTACCCGGGCAGTGACAGCAGCATTAACATGGAAGATGGTGAGACGAACACATAAAGGCAGCGTGGCCTGCTTTCCATCTCTCCCTGCTCGGGGCCCGGGCTGGTATGGGGTGGTTTCACCCTTCTGTGGCACCGCTGGTTCCCAGTGAAGATGGGGCCGGGGACAACAGGACTGGTTTCTAGGGCCTCCAGCCCAGCTGCAACTGGACCTTACCTCTCCTGCCCTTAAAGATAGAAACACAAGACACAGATATACATGTACACACTCACACGCATGCACGCACACACACACACACACACACACACAAAGAGAGGCAGAGAGACCGAGAGAGACAGACAGAGACAAAACAGAGAGAGACTTTGCAGAAGCAGAGACTCTCAAGGCTGAGAAGGGCCTCACAGAACATTTTGCTGATAGAGAAAGCCCCAGCACGCACGGCAGGACCCCTGCCTAAGGTATCACGTCAGGAAGAAGAGAGTCGGGGGCACCAGGATGAGAGGGAGTAGGGTATCCCCCACTTGGGCGGTATCCTGAGACTGAGTCCATGTGGTGGGCGTGGTTGGCAGCACCCCTCCCCCACAAGCCCTGAAGGTACGGGCAGAACAAGGCACAATACCAAGCAAGCATCTGAGAGGCTGGGACAAATTCCCTATACAGGACTTTAATTCCCCACCCCTACGAAGGAGTAGATGTCTTCCTGATGCAGAAGCCAGGCAGGAACCCAAGCCAGGAGGAAGACAGACAGGCACCTCCTCACTTCTCACTTGATCTCTCTGTTCCCCAGGCATAAAGACGTCTGTTTGAAGTCTTTCAGTTAATTTTAACCAAATCCTCCCCTTAGAGCGCCCCATCGCGTTAAATGGCAATACCGCTCCCTCAGTCACCCTCATGGAAGACTTGGTGCTGTCCCTGGCTCTCCTGGAAGCCACCCACCCACTGGGCTCTCCAGTCCTTCCTCACCAAGTTGGGTGCCAGCTGGGAAGTGTCTGCATCTCAGCTCCCACAGCCTCCACAGATCTTCATCCCTCCGGGCCACTTGATCTCACCGGACTCTTGGGTGGCCTTCCTGCTTCCCTGGAGGGACCCCAATCCATTTCCCTTCCTTGGGGAACAAGGACTCTGCCAGAGTGCAAATTTGAGACTGTTCGACCCCGCCCCTTTCCCGCGCCGCCGGGCTTTGGCTGATAGCTGCCCTGGGTGTGGGAGGCTACAGGAGAGTTACTAGTGCGGGAGCTGTTTGCGGACTCTGCGGTCCTGAGGTCTTCGATCCTCGGACAGGGCAGTCCCCGCCTAATCCCTGCCCAAACTGGCAGCCCGGCCGCTCTCCTTCGGACTTTGCTGGTGGAAGCGAACGGGACCTGAGTGAGCAAACTCTGGGCGTCCGGTGGGGCGGGGGGCTAGAGGCTGAGTCCGAGGAGCAGAGCCGTCCGGCCCCGCCCCCTGGCGCCGCCATTGGCCACGGCGGAGCGGGTGGACTCGCTGCTCCGCGCTCCGCTCCGCAGCCGTTCTCCGGGAAGGTCGGGGTTGGCGGCTCCAGGCGGTGGGGCGTAGCGCCCGGAGGCTGCCCGGAAGGTCGGGGCACGGCGAGCAGGGGCCGGGACCCTGCGCTCTCTCGGCCGCTCCCCGTCGCACCCGCTTCCTCGCAGCCTCGCCGGCGCGCACTCCCATTCCCTCTGCGCGCTCGGCCCCGGGGCGCAATGGACGCGGCACTGCTCCACAGCCTGCTGGAGGCCAACTGCAGCCTGGAGCTGGCTGAAGAGCTGCTCTTGGACGGCTGGGGGCCACCCCTGGACCCCGAGGGTAGGCGCGAGGAGAGTGGACCCAGGCATCGTGGGCTCCTTTCTCGGCTCGCTCAGTGCGCGCAGGGTCCTGCGCTCCCCGCGCCCGGAGCCGGAGCGCCGAGACACCCCTGGCCACTCTTCCGAGCTCTGCTCTCCTCTCTCCCGTGGCCAGGTCCCTACTCCTACTGCAACACGACCTTGGACCAGATCGGGACATGCTGGCCCCGGAGCGCGGCCGGAGCCTTCGTGGAGAGGCCGTGCCCCGAATATTTCAACGGCATCAAGTACAACACGACCCGTGAGTGCCCCTCGACCCTCGGCTACGGACTGTACGCTGGCCCCCAAGAAGGCTGTTCTGGGGTTGAGGGTGGGTTCTGGACCCTGTGGGAGACCTGCTAAGGGCTGTGGCACCTGTACCACTGGACTTAAGGACTCCTTAAATGTTGGGGAGCGCCTTTTGTCCCTACTCCAGCAGAGCTTTTAACCTCAGGAAGGGAGGATTTGCCCACAATTCCTGTGCTCCATGTGGAGATAGCCAAGAAAAAGAAAACACTTCGTCCCTTTTAGGGGCATCCTTCTCTCCTCCATGTTGCTCCAGTGCCCCAAGTTCCCCCATTAGGGTGCCATCTCTGTTTAGACGATGCTTCCCTACCCTAGAGGAGGCACAGCACCATCTGCAAGCCTGCACCCCCAGGGTGAGGGTCATAACCAGGTTCTTTACTATTGAAGAGGAGAGAAGGAAGGCTGGAGACAGGAAAGATGGGGTGAACATACAGATCGTAGACGCTGGGGAGCCAGCGAGTGTAGGATGTCATCTATTTCCTCCCTGGAAATCCAAGACTGGCCCTGTGCGTAGTGAGTCAGGAGAGTGGGCAGCATTACTCCTGGGCAGCCCCAGGAACTGTGTGGGGTCTGAATTGAGACCACCACCACCACCAAGAGAGAACGGCCTGTGCCTTCCTTCCTCCTGGCAAATCCCATGCTGGCTTGTCCATGGGGAGGAGGTCAGCGGATGCCCCTGGAGGTACCCAGCCTCCAGCCGAGGTATTCAGCTGGAGCTGGTTCAGGAAAAGAGAGAGAGATTGAGAGAGAGAGAGAGAAAGAGAGAGAGAGAGAGAGAGAGAATGTGTGTGTGTGGTCTGTGCCTGCTGGAAGGGCTGATGAGAGATAGGCACAAGGTCTGTGTGAGCTTGGGTGCAGCCCTCACTGGCCCACCTGAACACCGCCCTTCCCATATGCAACCCTACCCTGCAGCAGCAGTCTTGAGACTCTATGCCTGGCTGTTCCAAAGCCCTCGGAGCCCTCAGAGCACCTCCGTCATCGCACATACACACGTGCATGCCCACGTTTCTGTCTGGGCTCTCCAAGGTTGTGGCCTGGCCTCTGTGGTGACGGATGAGTAGAAGGCAAGGCAGCAGTGCCTGCCTCCGGCTGAGCTGCACTCCCCCGGCCACGCCAGCTGAGGGCTCTGGCAGCCCAGGGAGCAGTGTGCTCAGAGGAATCCGGGGCAAGGTGCTCTTGACAGAAGGGGCTGGCATTGCTGAGGAAGGTTTTGGCATCAACCAGAACATACTTCCTGTCCATGAGTAACAATAGATCCCCCTGGAAGGAACTCAGGTCCCCTACCTGGGTAGGGATGCGGATGCAAGCTTCTCCCAAATCGGAACATTATAAAAGTATATTTTTCTGATCTGTGAGCTTTACGGAGCGGGGCAGTGGAGATCAGCTTAGGCCCAACACTAAAGGCTATCAGGGTGAGGTGGGGTAGTGAACTTTCTTAATTCATATCCTGGAACCTAAGGGAGCTCCACCTCAGTTATCACCCAACCTGGAGAAGGGAGGCCCTCCTCCTCCAGAGGAAGTCCCAAGGGTAGAGCCTGGGTCCCTTCTTCAGAGCAGAGCTACGCACACTGTTATTCAGCCAACTTATTGAACACCTACTATGTGCCAGCTACAGCATCCACTGTATTGAGGCCCTTACAATTGTGGCAGACAAATGAACACAGCAGTGAATGCCCTGATGGAGGACAGTAAGGGGACTATGAGAAGGGGGAGGGTAGAGAGGGCACATACCAGACCACTGGTCAAGGGGGTGGCAATTAGCGCCTGGTGTCTAATAAACAATTTTCTTCATGGGGGCCAAAGTGCTGCTTGCACTGTAACTCCTGAGGAACAGGAGGAGCTTTACCATGAGCAGCATGCAAAGCAGGGAGGGTTCAGACCGTCAGCCCAGGTGGGAAAAGCCAACAAAGCTAAGGGCATAGAAATGTGTGATCGAGCCCCCTCTACCTCCAGCCAACCAGCTGCTGCTTCCTCCTCATCCACCTGCCTTTTCAGTGGGACCCTTCCTTTAGAAAGAAGGACATGGGAAGGAAAGTACACCTGTGAGAGGCCTAGGGGAAGGGTCCAGGTGTCTCTTCCTGCCCCAGTCTGGTTATGCTGCAGATAACTCTCCTTGAAGCCTTAATCCTTAGAGGTTAAGAATCACCCGGTGGGGAGAACAGTTTAAGCAGTGATCCCTGCAATTGTTGGCTCAGCTGAGCGTGGAGAATCTGCCACAGAACAAGCATACACCGATCGTTGTCGAGGTCCCAAATCCCACCAAGAGAACTGCATCCATAATCCTACTCCTGACCACACCCCCAAGACACATGGCTTTCATGCTCACATTGCAGACAAGAATGAGGAGGCTCAGCGTCAGGAAGTAACTTGCTCAAGGTTAGAACCAGCGCAGCCAGGGAACCCACAGCCCTATTACCCTAGGGCAACAGTGTCTCCAGGAATGATGCATTCAGTTTGCCATACCATAGGGGGACAGCAAGGGGAGGATGGGGCAAACTTAGGCTTTGAGCTGCACCTCTGGGGCAGGTTGCAGTCAGCTGAAGAGTGCGTAAGAGGTGTAGAGGTGGTGTTCAGATGAGACCAGAGAAGAACATGGAGGGCTACGATGCACAGCACCACAGAAGCCTTCACTATGAGCGCAGCAGAGAGCCCAGCTGAGCCTGTGGGCAGAGGAGCTCTGCTCTGTGGGCATCTAGTCCTCCCAAGCGAGAGGGCTGGTAAGGAGGTGACCAAAGCTCCCCTGAGTGGAGCAGAGCTGTGGGTGCAAAGGAGGGCACTGCTGTGAGCGACCTTGGGCACTGGAATTGACAAGGAGGCGTGGAGGGGTCGGGGCAACACAGGTGCACAGGGAGACGCTGAGCACAGTGCTGGCTGTGCTGACTTTGAGGAGCTGGGGGGACACCTGGACGGGGGTGCCCAGGAAGCCGTGCTGGGTAGGAAAGCCTGGGGGACCACTGTGAGTGGAAGGAAGGCACCTGGCAGGCCTCAGGCCTTCGATCATGGGGAGCAAGTTTGGGAGGGCAGGTCAAACCTTCACGGGCCTCAGCCAGAGACGATCTTCAGGTGCAACACTGGCCAGGGGAGGGGAAGGGACTTGTGCAAGGCCACACACACTTGTCATGCAGAACCAGGTCAGTGGCTGTGTGTCCCCTCCACAGCAGCACACCTCTGACAATGTCTTGTAGACACATGAGCTCCTTTTGTGATTTTTTCAAATCTACATAATGCTAGGTCCATTCATATGGGTAGAAGTTCACCATTCTAATGTTCCTAAGTCAGGAACTGATGGCCCTCAGATGACACATGGGGAAACTGAGGCAATGAGAAGTTAAGTGACTTTTCTCATAACTGAACAAGGATTCAAATCTAGGCTCTGCAGCCTGTCAGGAAGCAGCTCTGCCAGGTTAGCAGAGAAGGACTTTGTCAAAAGAATATTTAGTGGGGAGCTTGTGGAACCACTGAGTGTACTGAAGGATCACATCTGGGGGCCCCAGCCAAGAACTTAGGGCAAAGCTGGCACACGAGAGAACCTCTGCCCTCCCTCAGTACCCTTCCAGTGCCACCAGCCCTGACCACCAGCTGGGCCATAGCCCGGCTGCCATCTGCCCCGGGGTCTGAAGAGCTGGGAAGCCCTTCCCCATCTCCATTTTGTAGACACCAATTCACACTTCCCTCTGGCAGTGCATGTGATGGGGGGCATCACGGGGGCATTGGGGTCACACACACCAGCTTTGCAAGGCAGCCTGGGAGTGCAGGATCTGGCATTTTAAATCTGTGGTGGGGGTTACCCTCTGCTTCTGCCTCTTCCCAGGCCTTCCAGAGCCGAGGTTCAAATCCTGGAAAAGCAGAGACCATCCTAAATGTCCTCATGAAGTATAACCTAAGGCAAGTCCCATCCCTTTCCTGGCCTCGGTGGCCCAGCTGCAGGGAGTAGAGAAGTGGGTTAGCCCAGCAGAGGATTGTTGGCGTGGGAGGAGGCACTTAAGTTCCATCTTCCTCCCATCTCTCCATTCCATAAGCCCTTCAAGCCACCTCTGTGTGCCTCTGTCTCCCTGTCTCTGTGTGTGTGGTCTGTGTGTCTTTCCTGTCTCTGTTTCTGAGTGTACTTTTGCTGTCTCTTTCTGTTTGTATGTCTGTCTTTGTTCCTCTTGCTTTCTGTGTCTCTGTGTCTTTTTCTCTCCCCGCTCCCTCTCCATCTTCCAGCTCTCACCCTCTCCCTCACTTTATCTCTCCCTATCCCTTCTGCCTGGACTTCACCCCCCTCCTTCTCCCTTTCCCAAATCTGCTGTCTCTCCCTGTTCTATCTGCCTCCTCTTGCCTGTGCCCATGGTGTCTGTGGCTGCAAAAGGGGGTTCCTGCTCCCTCCCTTCAGGACATGGCCCTTTTTCCTCCTGCGGGATCATGAAGCACACCTTGGCCCAACCTTGCCTTTGTGACCTCAGACTCTCGCCATGGCCCTCCGAGATCAGTTGTGCCCATCTGTGCTGCACATCTGCCAGGACGGGGAAAGAGAGGACACCCGCCTAGCCTCACCCCATTCTAGAAACATGCCAAAGCGTTGGTTGTGTTAAAATAGAAACCCATCTGCTGAGTGGTCTCCAGCCAGAGCGACCTCCCATTGAGCCTGCCTGCTTAGGCAGGCATCTCCTTTGGAACCCCAAGGAGGCAAAGGTGACAAGAAAGTTTGGGCCCTGCCCTCAAGGAGACTCAGGCTACTTAAAGACCAGGACTGTCACAACCCACAGTCAGAGATTGGAAAGAGGGCTTGGTGGCACTGGGGCATTTGTGGGAGAGTTCCTGGAGGGCTGGGGTGGACCTTGAAGGTCTTGCAGCAGTGAATGCCAGGCCAAGGCATGGCCTAGATTCTGCTAGCCTGAGGGAGCAGGTCATTTGTCCATAGACCTTTGGCACAGGACTGGAATGCTCTGGAAGGATGCCTCTTCATTTTTAGGACTT